ATATCATAAAGCCTGCCATTTGAAATAAATAAATACTTGTATATTTATACCTCTTGAAGATTTTCTGACACAAAGGTTTATCTTTTGCTTGTTTGTATTCTTAGAGTCCCATCTGGTGGAATGGGCGTTGAAGTCTTCTAATACTACAGTCTTGTGTGAGATATTAAGAACTTCAAAGTTGGGACTATTTCGAGGTGGATTATAGTCTGCGTTTATCTTGTAGTGATTTGACATTTCCAAACACTTAATCTAATTATTTCGCATATGTCTTGATTCGAGCCCATACTCTTTATTTGATCGTAATATGATGTGAGGCCTTCTTTTACTCCAATCAGAATTCCACTTGCAACTTGCCGGTATTTGGGTAGTAGGTAAAGGGTGTAACCTGGGAATTGCTAGTATTTCAGTTTTCCATCCTTAAGGTTTGCTTCCATGATTGTGAATATATCTATATCATAGGTTTGTAGGATTTTCTGTACTTGAATCTTTATGACCTGTGACATCAATCCAGCATTCCACTGAAGGATCTGTAGAAATTATGATTTGCCCTGACGAGGGCGATTTCAAGCTAATCATAATAAATTGAAGTCAAATGCCGAGTGATAGACTTTTTGCCTTAAGAATATACCTTGTCCATGGTGCACCACGTAGAGTTAAGTCAATCGCGCACCCAAGTAATAAAAATATAATTAAATGAAGTGAGACACACTAAACGTTTCATTTCGATCCACTCGTCTCCTTAAATACTTCCACAAACGACTGTACCTGCGTTAAATATTCAAGTAAAAATATACTTTTTAAAGATTAAGGAAATGTCAGACTATTCTTTGTGCGAAATACCTCATTGGAGGATAGTGCGCGGGTACTTTAACTTTTCCAAAAATATTTCAAAATGTTTTGATATTCCATTCAAAATACAATTTGAACTGTGTTTGGGGATTGATATTTCGAATTGGCGTTTGAATGTGCGCGCTGTGCAGATTTTTAAGAAAAGGCATTTCGATTGCCAGATTTGGTCTAACCCTATCCAGTGTCACGATTAGAGATCTGTATGTTAGGTCATTGGACACTCTTCTGGCATTACATATATTAGGTTGCGATTTGCATTCATCTAAATTATGGACAATTGGGTTTAGTCGAGAGAATGGTGTGCTTGCAGCATATACCGCTGTTGGTATAAGCAGTCTACTTGAAATTGTACCAAGGTTACCTTCAAGCTTTCATAGAGCGAATTGAGAAATAAGTAGTAATTTGTCAGTTAATCGTTAGGTTCTGCTCTTTGAACACAACTCTATGAAAGTTTACTTACATGGGGCTGGTCAATGGAAGGCATATTGAAATACCCCTTGAAATAACACATCACTTCTTTGTATCATTGCCTGACACCATAACTCGTAGAAAATATCCCACTTGAGGCCTTTGTGGGAACTAGTAACATATGTAGAAGGTAAGAAAAGCAGTTTGGAAAGTGCCACGTCAGCCTTGGTTTATGTGTCCTTTGTGCAGCAAAATCATTGCGGCATTGATGTGGAGACTCGTATTTGCCATTTGAGTAAACGAATATGCGGTCGATGGGTGTGAATATGCGGCAATAAGATTACTGCCTATTAGTAACGTCCCAACCTGAGTTTATCTTAACTTGACCCCAACAGAAAGGGTGTGGTGGAAGAGAAGCAAAACCATGACTCGCATTTACTTAATATGCACTTCTGAAATGAATGAGCGTATGCTAACACTGCTAACAATTCTCATGAAGGCCCTGCTGGCATTTTTCATCTTTTGGTGCCAAAGACCTTGGTGATGACAATAAGAGTATAAGCATTATTAACAATTAGAGTAATTCAAAGTAATGACAGAAGGTGTTGGAGTGGAAGAGTGAAATGTATTGTTGAATATGAGTGTATGTGACGCAGAAGAATTGTAACAGAGTTGGTGATGAGCGGAGTATGGTGAAGAGGGAAGGGGAGGAGGATAGTGAAGGAGAGATTGTAAAGAGGTTATCAATCGGGTGAGACAATGAAAACATAGTAATTGTTTAAAACAGTTGAAATTAGTGTGTGCAATTGGACGTATTGTTAATATCATCTAGGGGGAAGTTTGCCGTCGCGAAATTTCATTTCGCGGTTTCTTTTTGTGTTAATGTGCTATGATAAATGGTTTGGTTGGCGGTGTCAATCGGCATGATTTGGTATGTACAGAATTTTTTGCTATTTCTTGCTATTAGAATTTGAGCATAATTAAACAGTTGAATATGGTTACGCAGTAATTAAAATATTTTAAGCTAAATTGCTCAAATTATTTGGTTTGAGCATTCAACGACAAATCATTTGTTCATTGGTCTTTTGTTATCCTGTGTCGACTACTTCCAAATGTGTACATTCACAGAGAATTTCTTCCCGATTTGGCCATGGTATAACCTTCAAGTAATCAATTCACGATTTAAAAGCATCGATTTATCTGGCACCCATTTGTCTGCCAATTGTCATCCCTTGAATGTAAGTAGACACACGACGGTCGACTCACAGAAACATGCGCCGTCGTATTAATCTGATTGGTAAAGCGATAGGAAATCGGTGGTGGATTCATCTCATTATAGAGGTCATGCTCCTCAACAGTTAACTCCCTATATTCAATTTAAAGTCGATTGATTTCTGATGCCTTGAGTCGCATATGCTTAGTCCGACTGATGGCATCTGATTTCAGCTTTGACAATTTACTAGACTGCATATATAAAGCGTAACCCAGGAGTGCCTCTTCACCACTCCTACTAGAATCTGAAAGTAAGTTCAATAAATAAACATATAGAATTCAGTGATGTAGAAAGTGAATTGATGACTATTTCAACTTACTGCATTGTGAGATCGAAGTAGGAAGCATAGTCCAGAAGAATTGTCCAGAGTCATCTAGCTGACGCAAATTAAGAGGAATGACGAATCATGCTATGATCAAGTACTGTGGACATGAAAAAATCTCATTTGGTTCCAGTTGAAATATAAAACTGGCATTGCCGGTATCATCCATCTCAAACGCATACATTATTAGCAATTGATATATCAATGAACCATCGATAGCTACTAGTGGATCTGGCAAGTATAGCTGTTCCTCATCGTTGACGGAACCGTTGCTTTCACTCACTCTCTTGAAAAGGTGTTATCGTATTATTTTTCAGTTACCTTCTTAAGCTTAATTCGAAATTTCGATCCCACATCAGAAATATTTAGGCCATGTAATTTGGAATATATGGGGAGAGAAAGAAGATCTGACTGTGGACTTTCACGAGCGTCACCAAAGAAAGCGAAGAGGTCACTGGTTGTATTACTTGTCTGTGATCGTAGGAAGGTGATTTAGGATCGCTTAGCCTAATTAAAATGTCTGACACGACTACCATTTAAGGATAAATTGAAAAAGAATGAATGCAAAATTACACATGAATCTTGCCCACCTTTGCTACCACTGCTATCCACACGGCAGAAAGTGACTGTGTCTGAAGTATTGGAGACAATTTCCAAAGCGGAACCCCCTGAAACAAGAACTTCGTGCAGCGCCGTCGATACGGCTTCGTTCAAATATTCGAAGGTTGCAATAATTGTCATTGCCTGTAGCAAATCTGATTAGAGAAGCGCCCACTTATAGATTCTCGTTGATCATCTTTAATACTCTTGGTTACGAGATTGTATTCACTTTTTATTTCGGTCAAAAAAAGCAAATTAAAGAAGTTATGTCTGAAACGAATCGACTTCCAATCTCTTTCCCTGTGTCTCGTTCATTTCGCCTAAGATTTTCAATGTAATCTTTGCAAGCTCCAACTTTATCAAAATATTAGCACATTGCAATCTTTGCATAAGTGATGGTTCAATACTTTGTTTGAATTAGGGAAATGGTGCGCAAGTGATTTGAATGCACAAGTGCCTGAACGGTGATTGCAGAAACATGAAGAAACCACTGTATTCAAAGATTTTCGAGCCTCTTAATGGTATTCTCATTTTCTAGAATCTTGGTATGGTCTTCCACCGTGCAGAAGGTGATGCTCAGAAAAAGGAGAAAACATAACTGGCTGGTGGGATCGTAAGGGCAGATCATTTGGGTTCATGGTGAATACATGTAAACTAGGGGCTCATGTGCACATAAAGAAGTGGCTTTTGGGAAAATTCCCTTGCATATGGTCCTCTTTTCCTACTTCGACTCGTACAAAAGCAAGATTATTTCATGAATGTAATCCGCTTATTTAATGCATTCTAAGCGTTGTTTGATGTTCTTCTCAAACATCGCAAACTATACTTCTTTTATGGAAGAGGGTTTTATACTGCAGGCTCATTCCCTATCCAAAAATTATAACAAAGTGTTAAAAGGCAATCACTGTTACCTTATTGGGATGCGAACAAGTTGCGATTTACCTGCATGAGATGTAATTGAAATTTCATCAGTCCTTGACTAAGTAGGAGCATATCTTCACGCGACGCAAATGATAGCATTTGCTTCAATGAGGGAGCTAAATTTTGCAACTTCGTACCCATTCGATTCACCGTGTAATAGGACATATGCTTAGAGGTATTTGCAAGTGATTCCAAGGCCGAGGTGAGGGGTAAGAGTGATTCATTCTGTTCAAGCATGATGCTTTCTATGGCCACAACTAATTTGCCTGTTAGCTGAAAAGTGAAAGAATATGATGCATAACTATATTGATTTAACGCTGGCCAGTTTGAAAGTTTCGAAAATTGAATACTCCGACAGAAAGCATACATTAACTTTCACTCTGCTTCAGAGAAAGGCGCAAAAAGAGCAATATTAAAGGTTAAACTTACGTAAAACCTCAAAGTTGATAATAGTTCATTACTGTCTGCAATGCCTCTGATTTTAGAACAGAGCATCTTTAAATATAAACTTCAGTGGAGGTTGCCTTTCTAATCGGACAGAAGCAATGAGTTGTTCGCCTCCAGTTACCGCTAAAGAACACGAATAGAGTTGATTTATAGCCACTTCCAGCGGACATTCAAAGCTGTAGTTAAAATTGTAGGCTCTTTCCAATGTCAATCTAACACAAACTGGATTGCTCTCGCTTACTATCTCCCCCACTCTCTCCCATCCCACATTATTCCATTTCTGCTCCCCATTTACCCGTTCAATACGCCTTTGCTTCAACTTAAATGCTAGGCATGAAACCCATTTGACAACTTTAGTAAGATCACCACTTCAAAGGAGGAGGGTGTGGGGGGTGGTATTTGTCCTAAAAGAAAGATGCTCATTAAGAAAGTCCTCCTGTCATTAGTGTTTCTTTACTAGCGTGCATATCATTCCCAGTACCTATTCTGGTTAAGTAATCGTTCTATTGAGGAACGAATTGAATTAAATCAAGTATTATTTGGAGGTTGGAAATGGTTTGTGTGGATTTTCCAGCCTGTGCTTTGTTAGACGTTAAAATCATTTCTAAAGATGATGAAATTCATTTCACATTCGACTCCTATTTTAGATACATACTAAGGTGTACAATCTTGAAACTGGTCACTCATATAGCATTTCTTGAGGCTGTACATGTTGAAGAAGTATGCATGTCGATGTGTCAGATTAAAAGTGAATGGATTCCATTTCAATCGTTCAAAATTAAATCAGATTCATCTTGCACAAGTTAAGACTTTAAGAGCACATTCTATGGGAAAGGCCTTGAAGTTTGAACAATTTAAAGTTGCCTGTAATTAATAATTAATGTAATTCTCCTACCAAAGCAGTGGGTGAACAAAATTTATTTTTTGATACTTTGAAACCAGTCCCATTGTCTGCAAACAAAGGTGCAATTTCAATGAATATAAAAGTACTATTCGATTGTTTGCGATTGTCACTAATTTAGTTCAAGTTCAGGTTGATTGGTGGTCTTAAATGCCCTATGAAAGGGGTTAGGAAATGAATATATTGGAGTCTGACTGAAAAAACTCTAAATTCCTAAAAAAATCACGAAGGTCCTAACACTTTCTTGAATTATGGTAAATTAAATAATTACTGGACTTGAACTTTACGAAACATCGACCCTTCTTTAAGTTGCCATTGGATTGAAGGCCATTGAACCCTTGGTTAAATAGCATTTTCCGTGCGCTTTCCTTTTGCTCATCTGAGCCATTCGAAAAGCCAATCTATTGGTGTAAATCTTGGAAGGGTTCGAAATTGCATCAATTACTTTACCAATGAAAGTAATTAAGACGATCCAGAAATGCACGTACTGTCAAAAAATATGCACAACCAAAAAGGAATCCTAGAAGGGGCTAATTGATAGCTCCATTGACTAGTGGATTTCCACCAGTGCAAATTTGAGAAAAACTAATGTCTGCAGCCTTGATTTCAATTGGCTCTGAAAATTGTACTTATTGGCTGAAGGCACGCAGTACTTCATCATTGTCAGAAATATTCCCATGATCAGTCTAACTTATACATAAATGATTCGTAATTCATAATCAGTTTTTAAGGTCTATCAAAGACCCACCATTTATTTTTATGATAGTGGTTTCAATGCACTCCTGTTTATGGCATTAACGGAACAGGAAAGTATTTAACATAGGACGATTGGACTAAGTCCACGATGAAGATTGTAGCCCATTCCAGGGAGAAGCTTCTTCGATTTCTACAGAACTAAACATGAGCTTCAGCCGAAAGTAGATTTTACAAAGATCCCTTTGAGTGTTATACAATTCGCGCAAATAGATACAGGGGCAGGAGATTTGGGCTTTCCAACAAATCAATGATTAAGAATTCGTTTTCTGGTTTTATAATAATTCAATTAATGTTTACCACTTTCAACAGAAATGCTCCGTCTCAAGCACTTTTCTGCTAATTATTTCACCTATCCACAAGTCATTATCGCATTCTTGAAGGCGGAAAATACAAGTTCCATGTGATATCTCGAAAGCATATGGGAGTAAAATTAGTAGTAAAGCCTATAGCCTATTTTCATTGGCCAGTTAATCAGTGTAAGCACTCAATTTGCAGTCGATTGTTCAATAATATTCAAAAGATTACATTACGGGGAAATTAATTGAAGGAATTGATCCAATCAGATAGTGAGACCAGAAACCGGTCATTCCCTCTGAGCTTTAAATTCAATTAGATTCTCATCACCACTACCTTATTACCTCTATCTACTTGGCTCTACACCCACTACACTTTCATCCATTCCTTTTATCAAAACTCTTGATGAGTGATATTGTGCAGTTGACATGGCAAATCTTGCCTAATAACAGTCGATTTAAAAAATTGTCCCAATTAAGACGTTTTGTAGCACACTTGACTGATTTTTTTAATAGAAATCCCTTTCATTGCAACCATAACCTCGATTTATATTATCACCAGTTGTTGTCAGTAAATTGAATAAAACAAACCGGGAAGCATATTTGTGCCTACTTACAAATATTTAAGTACCATGGCACATATATTTTCACTATACTTAGATGGTCTGTTTTATTGGCTGCGGACGCCTGGCGAAAGTACTGGCATTCAATAGAATTGAAGGAATAGCAATTGAACCGATGCTACTGTCCTAAGCTCTGTTACTGTCGGGATGAGATTCAAAATGGCTTGAAGCAATTGTCGTCAAGCACACACCACGCAACTCCTGAGGTACGTTCTTCAAAAATACGGGCTCACATAGGGCGTTGAAAACCCCATGGATGAAATAATTTTTTTGATATTTCGAAGTCATAAATTCTCAGCTGCGGTTTAGCACTGAGTATATGAGCTTTCATTCCAATAACGATAAATTTTGTGAATGATAGAGTCATTTTTACAGTGAAATATGCGAAATGATGGACTCTACATTTCTGACATATACAGGCAACTAGTAAACCCCTTTCGGACCATCGAGTAGATTGTTCGTTATGTCGCTTTCTCTTCACGAAATCGCTTCCAAAAAATATTGTTGAAAAATATTTATTCATTTCCAAATGTGACCTGAACTGAACCTCTATATGTGGGACATCTGCAGCCCCCTTGAGGGTTGATTAACCACTGTTGACGACTCACAAAGCATACGTTCTTCTGAGAAAGATGGTCCCTTTCAACTCCATCTCCTTATCTTTGATGGAATATTTACATCTTCTCATGTAATGGGACATGGAAGGACTTTTCCACATGGTGCGCCCTGGACAACGTAAAAAAGTCTATAAATCGGAAGCTGACTTCAAACTATTATGACCAGCATGAAACAAAACTCCAATAGGAGAAATCATCCATGTTGAGGAAAATCATAAGCTCTACTGATCCTTCAGTGGAATGCTGGAAGGATGTCACAAGATAAGGCGATTCAAATCCACATAATCCTGAATACCAATAATATGGATTTATTCCCAATCGTGGAAGCCTAACTCAAGGATGACAAATTCAAACACCATCAATTCACAAGCTTCCGTTTATATTTACTACCTTAAGAGTGACAAGTAACAAGTGGAATTTTCACTGGAGTAAAAGACGACCTTACATCACATTGTGAAATAATCAGGAGTACGGATTCAACTCTGAATACATGCGAAATAATCAGATTAAGTGTATTGAAAAGTCATGACCACTTCAAGATATATTCTGTCTATAACCCACCCCAGAACAGACCCAACTTCGACCTCGTTAATATGTCACACAAAACTATAGTACTTTGAGACTATAGCACGTATTCCACCGGATGGAGATTGGAAGGAAATCAAAGACGTACTTAATAGAGGCTCTCTAGAACATTTTTACAGCAATGAGGAACCTACGGCAAATCTTCAATTCAATGGAACGAGAAAAAAACCCTACTTGCTCCTAGTTTCAAGCGACATCGACATTGGCGATCCTGTATCTGGCCACAAATCAGCCTTTGATAATATTGCCGATGAAAGATACTAGAATGCCAACCAAGATATCTTGGAAACTCATGCAGATCGGCTGGCCTAAATTCGCAAACATTAAGGTGTACAAACTACACGCAAGTTCCATTAACTAGAACCCCCATCCTGACAAGCTATGCGACAATGTCATCAATATTCTTATCAGGTGTGCAAAGAAATCTATTTCCCGTGGCAAGACATAGCACAATAGAGTATTCTGGTCTTAAAACCTTGTAAGATTGAAAAGTAAACTGCTGATCAGAATGGATAATCGGAAGACGCACAAGCCTGGTGTGACAGTCGGTTGTACTAAGGCAAGCATTCTAACGAGCCATACGGTCTAACTTCGACATCTTCATCACAAATATCAGCTTTTAAAATGACGGTCAATGCAAATTCCAATTTCTGTAAATCACAATTCAAAAAAGTTAATTTGAGGAGTGTAAGAAGTAATTGACGTTTCCATTACTAATTGGAGGAAACTCGAAAAATAATGCATCAGATGGAATTTCTACTCCTTGACCCTATTGAAATAAACCATTTGGAAAGATGACTTCAATAAACAGCACAAAACGAAACAATTGCAAAGTTACATTTACAATGTACAGTTGACAGTTAGGAAAGAATAACTTGAAATTATGCCATGCAAACATTAAAAAAATGAGTTTATATTTTGCAATTCTAATTAAACCAGTGAAATGGAATTAATAGGGTACGTCAAAAAATTTATTTATTGATTTGTATCAAATGGCAGGCGTTCTGATAGTTATCATTAGCCCTTTAGTTGACTTCAGGATTCACAGAGCGGAAGGAACATCAAAGTGGGAAAAAATCGAGAGGGGGGGGGGAACAGAAGAGTGTTTCAAAGACGAAGGTAGAAAAAAGGTGAGTTGAGTACTGTGAAAGTAGTCGAATATAACATACAATGGGGTGAGGGTAGTTTGAAGTCAGAAGTCAACTGCCAGTTAATAGACTTTTTTGCCGTATGAATATACGTTGCCCAGGGTGCACCAAGTGGAGGTAAGTCT